GCATGACTCACCCTTTGTGTCTCAGTTCATGAGACTTAGCACTCTGTTCCCTCTTATCCTGTTCCATTGAAGCTTCTACTCCTATATCGAAGAGGAGCAAATTAGCAACTTATAAAATGAGTCAATGGAGTCCGGATGCTAAATTTCAGCACCCGGGACTTGAAACATGTCACAAATCAGTAACTTTAGACACGAAAAACATTTTAAATCAAAATTTGTATTGCAGATTCAGTGGTGATTTTAGGTCTCTTGGCAAGAATCAATAGAGGGGCCCTCAAACAAGTGTTCATTACCATCATTTCTGCCAGTGTCCCGATGGATCTTATTTTTATTTGGTGACTTTCATTGACAAACTTTGGTTTTCACAGCATGCATGCATGCATGCAACGTTTAGAAGGCAAGGAGAGTGAGTTCTCTCATGGGCCCTGTTAAGGAGGTTTTCTACTGTAATTGCAAAATTTGCACATTTGGGCCACATGCTTTGGTTGAAGTTTGTGAGCCCTCAGGGGCCCCTACTGTCTGGGGCCCTAAGCAGCTGCCTGCTTTGCCTATTGACAAGCAGCACAACTGTGCAGATTAAACATCAACCCTACCCTTTTTAAAGTTCTACATGTACAGTATGTATATTTAAAACTAATTCAAAATTCAGTGAAGGTCTGTCATTCTCCTTGTGAGGAGTGGTCGAGCAGAGACCTAGCGCCCTCTTTTGACAAGCCTCCACTGATTATATCTAAGTGTAAATTCTGGTATCGCGACAACCCTTCTTTCAACACATGCACACAAGATGCACAGACTTGAAATTAGCATCGTCTCACTGCAGCGGCCCTCTTCCCTCATTGTTAGTGGAGGACGGTGATGGAGGCTTCTGGGGCGCCCACGGCCTTCTGTCTGCATGTCTGTCAACCACTCACACACAGCACTGATGTCTCCGCCTAATGACTAATGTTGCACCAGGTGTATGAGTGTGTACAGGCATATGTGAGCGTGTGTATTGTGGTGCTGTTAGTGTATGATTATAGGCCTTATAATGACAGCCTCAAATTAGTGATGATTTCTTGGCTTTTTTCTGGATCTCTGTGAGGAGACAGCATCAGCCAAGTGTCCATCAGTGCCAGTGGGAGTGCTGATGCCTGGAGGCGTGTTTACAGTAACAACACCCTCACACGGTGACTCTTGCACCGCTCACTAGTGTCAGGAGGACTCACTGTCACTGCAGCGTCTGCTGAGGGCTTCCTACAGCCTTCTCTCCGAGACTCAGCAGGAACACGTTTCTAAATTTGTCCAGGTATCACTTTCCCCACTGAGTTAGTGCTGCGGCCTGCTAGACACTATGTGGGAAATATATAGTGTATATATGTCATATAATGGGCCTGCATGAGTAATTAAATTCCAATAGTGATCACCATTTCTGACTTCCCACGATGAAAGATGATTTATTGACTGAGTTCAAAATGTGTGCTCTGTCCATTAAAAACTGTGTTGTGGTCTTCTCATGGAGCTGGCCGATCAGAAGAATGTGGGCATGTTGGGAGGGGGGCTTTGAAGAGACAGTAGCTCCGGCTGAATAGAGGGTTTTTACTGATGCCAGTATCAGATACATAAGGAGATTTTTGAGCTGCAAATCAAGCAAAGCTGCTCTATAGCACTAGTTCTCAAACTTTTCACAATGAGTACCACCACAGAAAATATTTTGCTGTCCAAGTACCACCATTATCCAACATTGAAATAAAGTAGTGTAGGGCTATCTAACTATAGATAGAGATAGCCAAAATAATCCAAACTCGATGTCCCTTGCGTCATATATTCTTACTGTTTTGCATCGTTTGTTGCTAGTTGTTTCCGAAGCGTCACTGGCACTGCTAACGTCGCCTCTAGCAACTACTGCTGCTGGACGTATCACCCACACTTTTCTTTCTAATATTTCCTGTTTGGAGCCACAAATGCAAAAGAAATGTACCCATCATATTTGCTTCATCCCCTCGCCATCACAGCTTTGTTTATCAACTATTTGATTTGTGCATCTTTATCAAAAAATTGAAAAAATCAGGGACTCCAAAAGTAGCACAAGAGGGATCCCATGCACCACCAGTGGTTCTCGTACGACAGTTTGAGAATGAATGCTCTGTAGGTTTCACAGACTGACAAAATGAAAGGTGAATATGAAGAGAATATGGGCTTTTTAACATTTGTTGTATGTTTGTTTTAATTTTAATTTGAGTTGCTTTTGGGTGAACAATGTGGGATACTAAATGTGTGTCCATTATTATGACTCTGGCTTGTATGGAATTCAGCACCTGGGTGTTTTATGGGAACTCTGTGGATCCAGAAAGAGGTTATCATTTTTCATTTGAAAGTAATGAGGTCCGTATGATAGAGTGGTGGTGTTGCTGGCCCTGAGCCCGGTCTTCCTACCTCTCCAGTCCATCTTTCATATGCAGCTTATAAGTTTAAAGGATGATAAAGGTGTCAGGCAGAGCTCAAACCAAGAGCAACTACATCTGAGGTGAAGTAAACCCCCTGTATTCTTTGCCTATTTTTTAATGAAGGTTGCACCCTCAAGAGGGGCAGCAGTAACACTGTGAGGTAAAAACCAAATGAAGTCATATTTCAGTCGAAAGTACAAACCAGTACAAAACCTCCTCTTTCTTATCCCTAAGAAAGAGGAGCAGAAGAAGAACACGTGAGGTGGTAATCCTGACCAGAGCTGTGCATCCTGAATCTACATTTCCATTCATGCCCTGACTGGTGATGACGTCTGCTCCAGCACACTGCAACACACAGGGAGGCCTCTTATCTCGCCGGCTCAACCTGTCATCCACCCCGAGAGGACACACATGGTTATCACCTGCCTGTCAGACAAGATATTCAGACAAGATTAACAGGCCAGTCTGGATGAAATAGGTAAAATGCAGATCCACAGAGAACAGGTGTACGTGGGCTCCACAGTGATCAGACCCTGATGGTTCAGCATGATAACCAATTGACTTTAATAAAATGGAAGGAGAAACAGTCAGCATGGGAATAAAACCAGAATATTTGGAGCTCCCCCTGCTGGCTGGCAGTCTTCTAAGTCATAAGCTCCTCCTCTTAAATGATAACAGATGGGACAAGGGTCTTGTGTTAAAAAAAAAGACTGATGTAAAGTTATGATTGACAGCTCTGTTGACAAACACTGCTCATTCCAGCGTTCCTAAACAGATGTGTCGAGCAGGAAAGGTGAGAGAAAAAGGCTCTGTTTGCACAACAACCCAACAGCCGTGCAGTTTGTTGCATTTTGGCTGCTTGTTTACACGACAACAGCGTTTCGGGCGACTGAAAACACAAGATTTAAGCAAGGCTGCCATAGTGGAAACTTCTAGAAACAGCACCATCTCAGTCGTAGCGTAAACTAACAATATGCAGTTCCTCTGAAAAATCTGACACACTAGCCATGCTTCATTGGCAGATTTTGGAGTATTTCGACTGTCATGACTCCCAGTCAGCATTTTCTTGAAAATGACTCACTTTGTCGTTTAGGGTCACTTGGAGAAGCAACCCCACCTCACCATTCGTCCACAGAAACATTCATGTGTTAGCCATTTCAGTATGTTTACACCTCACAGCTCTGTAGAAGGAAGAGTTTGTGCACACCTGCATGTTTTTTCATTACAAAGTCACACCACCAACTACTGGCCTGGCATGTATACTGCAGTGTTTTTCATCCTCTTTCTGGAGCCACGTGCACAGCGGGTGATTCTGTTTCCAGTGGTTAGTTTTTGTTTAAATGTGGCTAAAAAATACAACCATTAAACTTTAAATAACCAAGTGTCCGCTAGTTATTTTGGCTTCATTTCAGTACAACAGAAGCAGACCAAGAAGAAGAAGTGTCCATTTTAATATACAGTTACTGAAAATGATCATGCCTTACCCCGTACACATGCTTAGCTCCTGCTTTAGCTGCAAACATGGACAGGATCCCGGTCCCGCTCCCCACGTCAAGCACTATTTTGTCCTTGAAGACGTGCTTGTTGTGGTACATGGAGTTCCTGTAGGTGAGCGTCCTCACTTCGTCCTTCAGCATCTCCTGGTTAGCGAGGACAAATAAGATGCTGATGAAGCTCAAACCTGAGAGAGCAGCAACTACTCGTTAAAATTAAAGACACAAGCAGAGCAATGGAGGTCTGGATTTGCTGTGATACCTGTAAACCCTGCACCTATTCTTCCTCCCTTACCTCTCACACGTTCAGTACGACATTCAAATCCTCACTTGGTGTATCTGAATAAGCCCCATGAGCCAGCAGACTCAGTCTGTCTGAATCTGCTGCCTGAATCTCTGTTCCTGTTACAGCGTCTGAAGATTATTCAGAAATGTTAGGAACACACCTGACCTACATTCCCAAAATATATACATAAAAAAAAAAACAGTCTGCAGGTTACATGTGCTGTACGACTTCTTCTCCTCTGTCTTCAAGATGCAGCTGGACTTTCATAGAAACGTTAATCTTGTTTAAAACTGAAACAGTGGAAATATGTCCTGCACAAAGACAGGATAGATATTTATTACAGAAGCAAAACAAATGACTGATTGATTTTAAACATGGACGACGTAAACTAAGTTTAGTAGTTTCCTTAAATTCCGCCTGACTCATCGAGAGTCGGCGTTGTGACTGTGGAGACTGTCAACATTGCCAACATACCAACTTTGCATACAGTAAAAAATCAAATGTACATCAATTTGGATCACTCATATCTTCAAATGTTTTTGTGTGAAAATACCAGTTAAACACTTGAATGGATGATTCACCGGTGAACATTTTGGTGTATTTGTCCTAAATTATTCTGATTTATTCAATTTCCTGGGGCTCCGATAGCCTAGTGGTTAGTGTGCATCCCATGAATGGAGGCTGGAGTCCTCCCAGCTGGCGGCCTCGGTTCAAATCCGACCTGTGGCTGCTTTCCCCATGTCATTCCTCCCTCTCTCTCTCTCCATCTGACTCCATCCACTGTCCTATCTCTACATTAAAGGCATAAAACGCCCCAAAATAAACCTTAAAATGTGTTTCCTGTTGCTTTCTGTTGAAGGACAGTCATCAGGTGTGTTTAAACTTTGGTCTATTAAAGACATAGTACATGTAATGTGCATGCAGCTTGTTTTAATCTTAAAGGGTCTGCAGTTTGATCGAAACACAAGTGTGCAATACTAATACTTAATGGTTAAAATAAACAATAAACTCTCCTAAATCAGTCTCTTGGTGTGGTCTTTGTTAGTGAAAGTATTTTTGTTGCTGATTCTGATAGGAAGAGGAGATAGGACATAAAAAGGCATACCTCATGTATACCAAAGTGGGCATAGGAGTCAAAGTAGTAGTCCCGAGAGGTCATCTCCTCCGGGTTAAGGAACTTGGCCATCTTCCCCCTCCCAGGGCAGCTCGACAGGCTGGCAGCATGGGGGGTGTGAGGAGGGAGAGGAGGCCGCGGGGCGTGCTGGATGGAAGGCACGGGTTTGGGCAACGAGGTGGGCTGTGCCGACTGGGATTGGATTATGCGGATCGGCTGTGGCAGTGACTGTTGGTGCTAAAAAGAGAAACATACAAAAAGAAAAAAAAAACACTTCTGTGAGGAAAGTTGGAGAAAGAAACCAAACAGCAAGCTGGCATGGACACGACATCATCACGGTGCATTTTTACATTCATGGACAGCGATAGGCTAAGACTTAACAGCCACTCTCATCTCATGGCTCTCAGCTCGTCTGTCAGTCTTCTCCATAAAGCAGCGTGCTGGTTCACTGTGAGTCCACACAGTCCGCTGGGTTTATGGATGCTCTCAGCGCTGACATGCAAGTCAGCCTGTCTGTCAACAGAAGGCCAGAAAGCTCTGCTCCGCACAGAAGGTACAGCCGTAATGCCCTGATTATCACCTCGGACGCCAGCTGGGGAGGTCTAGCCTCAGTGTGTGTGCATGTGTGTGTGTGTGTCACATTGTGGATGAGACAGAGAGAGAGATAGAGGCAGATTCCCAGCATCTCAATTCTGAGCCAGTAAGCCATTGTGGTGTTTATTCTCGTTCCAATTTCCAGGTTTCTAAAAATAAATGATGGCCAGGTGAACACAAATAGGATGTCTTTTTAGTCAACTAACAGTGAAGCGCCAGATTTAAGATTGGTCATTTTCTCCAGATCCACTTTTTAAGATTTTGGTTGAAATTGTCTTTAGGTCCTGACAGAGATTAAGAACTCATGTGCTCTGAAAAAGGAAACAAATCTGTCATCTGTATCAGCACTGAGAGAATGCTACTTTCAAAATCATGCTAGTTTTCCAAAATTAACAACACTGCCTTTCATTTTAATCTTGTTCATGTGACAGGATCTTCAGTTCATGAGTCAAGTGTTCACCTCTGGCCGAGGCCTTTCAGCCTTCTTAAAGGTCAGTTTTTTAATCGTCATTGTTGCAGTGATGGTCAGCGAAGACGTGCTCCGTTTACATGCTTCAGTTACACCGTTAACCTACAGAAGTAACTCTGACTTCAGTTTGTGCCATTTGTTCCAATTAAATCCTGTTTTACATGAATCATCACATGGACTAACTGAAGTCAGTAATTAGTTGTTTTTAATTAGTAGCCTAGGTAGCAGAGTCGATAAGGTTACGGATAACCTTCCTAATAGATGAGGTCATTCTGACTTAAGTGCCAGTGTTAGTCCGTGTGGCACATGCATCTACTGAACACAAAGTCGTTTTTCCTTCAGTCCCATTGATTTTTTCCTCGTTTGAAAGACTCGGTTTCCCCTCTCTTCTTCTCTCTTCTCTTTTTTCTTCCACAATCAAATGTTTCCTAGATCTCTCTTTTCCTGCTGGGCTTAAACGCCACAGACGAGGACATAATGACCAAGAAAAAGATGGGGGGGAAATGACTTCACATCCACCCATCATGGCTCAGGCACAAAGCAGGTGTTCACAAAGGATGCACAGCGCCTCCTGCATGGCTCTACAGTCAGTCAGTCAGTCAGTCAGTCAGACAGTCAGTCAGACAGTCAGTCAGTCAGTCAGTCAGACAGACAGACAGTCAGTCAGTCAGTCAGACAGTCAGTCAGACAGTCAGTCAGTCAGTCAGTCAGTCAGACAGTCAGACAGTCAGTCAGACAGTCAGTCAGTCAGTCAGTCAGTGAGCCAGTCAGTCAGTCAGTGAGTCAGTCAGTCAGACGGTCAGTCAGTCAGTCAGTCAGTCAATCAGTCAGTCAGTGAGTCAGTCAGTCAGACGGTCAGTCAGTCAGTCAGTCAGTCAGTCAGTCAGACAGTCAGTCAGTCAGTCAGTGAGTCAGTCAGTCAGACGTCAGTCAGTCAGTCAGTCAGTCAGTCAGTCAGTGAGTCAGTCAGACAGTCAGTCAGTCAGTCAGTCAGTCAGTCAGTCAGTCAGACAGTCAGTCATCAGTCAGACAGTCAGTCATCAGTCAGTCAGTGAGTCAGACAGTCAGTCAGTCAGTCAGTCAGTCAGTCAGACAGTCAGTCAGTCAGTCAGTCAGTCAGACAGTCAGTCATCAGTCAGTCAGACAGTCAGTCAGTCAGTCAGTCAGTCAGACAGTCAGTCAGTCAGTCAGTCAGTCAGTCAGTCAGTCAGTCAGTCAGTCAGACTTAAAAACACATGTTCCTGCTTTCGTCAGCATTTCAGTCACTGTGCCAATTTACTAAACTCTCAAGCAGCATGTAAAGTATCTTCATAAATAACTTGGATTCTTTTGGTGATTCTTGCTATTTTCAGACTCATATTCTGCAACTTAAAAATAATTTGAAGTTGCGGCTGCAAGTTTTTTTTTCACAAATAAGTCACATGCTTCTTTTACTGCAAAAAAAGAAGACTTGTTGCCGTCTATGGCGGCTGCATCAGCTGCTGCCACCTCGTGTTAGTATTTCTTATAGAGGAGATCTATTCTATTGATCCATATTGAAAAACATACTGTACATATAATGTGATGATTTTGGATGTCCATACTAAACCAAGGCAAAGTTATTTAAACACAACATGCACAGTTGTGACATTATGACACCTGGAGTAATGATGTCCTAAAACAAAAGAAAGGGATGTAAAGCATGAGAACAAGATCAAAGAGAAGAACAGAACAGGAAGTGACTCAGAAAGGAAAAAAATCAATCAGGAAAACGATTCAGGATCTAACCCGACGATTACTGTTTTCCAAGGATAAGACTGAGTTCTTAGCCTCTTTTGAGATGGTTATAAACTGTGCTGCCGAGGCAGACAGGACGTCAGAAAGAATTGAGATTGTTGTGGGGCTGCTGAAAAGTTTTTGGACGTTGTTGGAATAACTGGAGAGGAAGTGTAGGAGCTGCTGAGACAGTTCTTCAGGCACTTCTTCAGTTTAGGTTGAAGAGACTTGTTAAAGAATGAGATGAGGTCTAGACATATTATTATCTTTATTTCTTCCCTTTTTCCCTAGTTATTGTTTAAATACTGCAAATGCTGTAGTAGTACTCTAAATCCAGAGGTAGTCGAACTAACATAATGCTGTGGATCCCAACTGGCTTTAAAAACCAACAAAGAAGAAGAAGACTTCAGGCAGTTTGAGAAAGCTTCCCTCAGATGCTACTGCTGTCAGCAGCACAGACATGTTGCTGCTGTTTGCTGAGGGGGGAGAATGTGTGGAAGATGTCCTAAAAAGAGTAAAGGAGGAGAGAGTGAATGAGATGGGAGCTGAAGAAACTGAAGAAAAGGGAGATGTGCAAAAATAAATATAATCAGGGAAAGACTCTATCCAACCAAAGTATGTGCATGGACTAAAGAGGTTTTTTGGCATTCATTTCGATGGTTACTGTGCAGCTGACATACAGAGGACGTCTGAGTGGATTCAAATGGTGCCACAATGTTCCTGGACATTGTGGATTTTACAGGAGAGGAACTGGATATCTGAGGGAAGGAACATTCTGAATGCAGACAGATGGGTCTGGGATTATACATGTTGTTAAAAGGGGTCACATTGGGTGGACAAAGAAAAAGTGACTTAATCCAGCAGTTAGTGGTAATGCAACCGTAATGGATGCTAACTGCCAAATGCAACCTAAGACGATGAAAAGGTTGACTGTTGATAATGTTATTTTTTTTCTTTAGTTCTGCCTGATTTTCTTATTGACTTTTAAACCAAATTAAAGCAATTTGCTTGGACTCTTTACATCAACCAGGCAATAGTTAACCTGATTCCTTCATGCTCAATTTCGTAATTTTTTTTTATTCATGTGTAGCCTATATTGTTGAAAGATCTGTGACCCAGTCAAGAAACTTATTTTTGCTGTCTGTTGCCAAAGTGCATCTTGAAATGAAGAAAAGAGGTTCCAGGCACGCTGCTCCTGCAGCTTGGAATCTGCAGGAGGATTTGAGTCTCTTCACATCTTTTTAAAAGTAGACTGAATGAACTGGAGGAAAATAGCTCGGGTTGTAGATGCTTTGTCTAATGACTTTATGCTCTGTGATCTCGGATTGCTTTGACCTGTGTTTTGTAGTTGCTCTGTGTTTTATGTCAGTAACTTGTTAAATTGTGCTGATGTCTGTCTTTACTAGGACGATCTTTTCAAAGATATTCTTTGCCTTGATCAGACTGACTACACACTAAACGATTTTAGGCCCCAGTTTGGACCTATTTGTCTCCCAAACAATCGTTAATTCCAGGCTTGACGAAACAGATTATTCATCCAAAAGTGTGCGGTGTCAATACGATTATTTTACTGCCCCTGATGGAGTTGGAGTGTCCTTGATCTCTCATCATGAATATAAAACAACACGATAACAGATCGAGCTGCCTCTGACGGAATATCCACAATAGCCCATGAGAGCGAGTAAAGAGAGCAGACCTTCTGCTACTATAAGGTGAGGGACAATCACCCACACTGTGACTGCTGTCACAAAGATGCCAAAAAAGGAATTAATGATTAATTAATCATACTAATGCAAAGCTAAAATGTTCTATTAAAGGCTTAGATGGTAAAATATTGATAAAAAGTCGGATTAAGAGCACAAACAATAATTAGCTGAGTACTGTAAAAAGTATATGAATGGGACAGCTTTTAAAGGCAGGGTTGGTAATTTTCTCGAGATCCACTTTTTAACATTTGGGTTGGAATTGTCTTTAGGTCCTGACAGAGATTAATAACTCGTGCTCTGAAAAAGGAACGAAGAAAAGCAGTCACCTGTATCAGTTGTAAGACTGTAAAAACTTCCACCAATGTCTGCCACGAGGTACCAATCTGATGAACCAATCACACGCCTCCCTGTCTCCCTGCTCGCTCTCTACTCCTTTTTCACACTCTAAAAAAATGTGGTTTTTTTTTATTCAATGTTGAGATTCACTTGAAGCACCAACTTTTAAACTTCAACTTCTTTAAATCCTTGAAGCTGGGAAGAGGAGCTCTTAGCACATTAACCCTTTATCTGTTTTGTATATTCTCACAACATGTTCATTATTCGATCATCACAAAGGCTTTCATGGAGCTGCCTGAAGATGAGCTTGAATTGAGGTGTTACTTTTATCATTTCATCTCTTATTTTCCTGAAGGAACACTCAGCTGACACTCCTCTTAGATTTAAGACGTGTTCACTCTCAGCTTAGGAGACTGCAGATAAAAATTTGACATCTCAAAACAAACAAACAAGAAATACGACAGAGGAATTTAAAAAAGGAGGATTTGATAAACAGCTGTCTCCAAGCTGAAGCTCTAATAATTACAGGCAGGCTCTCAGAAGAAGTGATTTAGGATTAATACAAGAGAGCTATTAGGATTTTCTAAAAGTTGCATTGCACATAAACCAAACGCCTCCAGGCTGTGATTAAGGGAGGGTTCAGAGTCAAGTAGAGGCTGGGGTAAAGTTTGGTCAGAGAAGAGAAGCTGCACTGAGTTTAAATGACATTCACTCACAACACACGTCTTTGAGTCTGACCCTCAAGACTTATTATCAAATTTGCAGATCTATTTCTGACTGAATCCTCCCTCCATGTAAAGGTGAGAGTGTTATATGAGAAGGACATTATGTGATGTAACACAGAGGGGACACACACTGACTTCACACCTGTTTGTGTACTTTAACTCCTGAAGTAAACAGCAAGTCAACACTTACTTGATTTGTGTCATTATAAAGCCCCTATTTTCATTCACAGTGACAAATTCAAGCTTCATTTTGTAAATATTTGGGTGAAATGATCGACCATGTGTTGTCCTGGAAAGGCCACATCAAATATCTGCATGAATAAAAAAAAAACAAAGAGTGTATTTCCTGTGCCAACCAGAAGCGCTGTGTGTCAGCAGGCAAAGCAGGAAATGCTCAGGGACCCCGGCCAGTATGAGGCCCCCCGAGGTCTGACATACTTTTAACCCCAGTTGCTCAAATGTGCAAAGTGTGCAATGACAGTAGGCAACCTCCCAAGGGGGGCCCTATCTGACAGCACTCTGCATTGCACGGCATGGCATTGCATGCATTATTCCTGTGACATCCTGAGTTTGTCAGTGAAAGTCACGAGTCAATTCTAAAATTGACTTTGCGGCAAATGGAGTTGCTGTGATGCAAGACTCTCTGGGGAGTTAGTGTTCAATGCATATCCTGGAAAGGCGCCATATACATGACTTACAGGCTTTAATGGCCTATAGAGAGACTTCTAATTAATCCCTACATGGAAAAGTTCTCCTATAGTCAGGAAGGAGCATCACTTTGTCTTCTGCCATTACAGCACTTAAGCGCCTGAGAACATAAATGTTCCAGGAGCAGAGAGCAGCGGATGTCAAATATGCATCCATCCGGCGGGCAGTGTCCTCTCATTATAATTCAGCAGGTGCCCGCTGCCCAAAGACGTGAGTGCAGTGAAATACAGTGAATACATTTTCTTTGAGTGAACTTTATGTGATGCATAATATTTAATGAAGCAACTCGGTGCTCCTCCAACTCCACAGGGTGTCTGAATCTTTAAAAAGCAGGTGAATCAGCAGAGCTGCTTCAGCATGCAGTCACGCTGTGAATACAGATGTGGCTCAGAGGACTCTATAAAGCACTGAGATCATGTTGTGCTGATGTGAGAATGCAGTTTTATGAGAAGCTGAAGTAGAATATGTTAGAATGGAGGTCCTGCGGTTTGCATGATCAGATTTTTTTTGAAGGGGGTCTGCAAAAGGCTGGTTGTAAAACTGATTCCCAGCATCCCGGTGATCCCATGTTAAAAGCCCGGTGAGCTGCTGGCACATCCCGGCCTCACCTTCCTGCTCCACACATCATGGTCCCAGCGTTTGTCTGCGCCGTGCTGCAGCACCTTGGACAGCGCAGCGGGAAGCAGCAGCTCTCTGCATGTGGCGTACTCATCTTTCAAACCGGTTCATTTGATATTCAAACACATTCAGATCGTTATCAAATATTGTGAGAGAGACCCTCACCCGACAACGGATGGGCAACTGTCTATTGTGTCAGAGAGAGAGAACAGCTCCTTCTTGTGACATCCTGTCTGCCCTGTCTGCGAGTAAAGTAAGAGTGAAATCATACAGCTCCTGCAGAGCACACACAGCTAAAAACTAAACCAGTAAGATGTGCATGCATTTTCCAAGGGAATCGATGCTGAGAATCCTCACGCCTAGCTGCTTTGCACAAATGCCTCTTTTTTTAATCTGCTGGTAAATATCCCATCACATTGAGTCTCTTTCATCCGGACAGACCTGCAGTAAGTCCGGCATGCAACTTCTACTACAGGTAAAGGGCGCATGCTGCAGGGCGCATTAAGGACTCGGAGAATAGTCCGGAAAACTGAGCATTGTTATATTTCATTATAGGAAATATAGGTGTCTTTCACTTACCTCACTGCTCTCAGAATCCGCCATTTTTCTCCTGAGGAGCATGCAGCGGGACGAGTGCTTAATTCCCATAAGAGCAAGCAAAAATAAGCTCTCTCCCGATAGAAGTAAAAGAGGATGAGAAAACGCCTCTCGTCAGATCACAACGCTCCTTGCTCTTTTATCATCCAATTACTCTCATTCACATCGCAAACTGCAGTGTTCTTTAGAAATTCTAAGACTGCAAAAAGAGAAAGAACTACATGAGGTCCCAAAAGCATTGCAGCCACTGTTGCCAGAGAGAGCAGCGGATTCCATGGTGCAAAAGTTTGCAGTCCGCCGGTGTGCTTTCCTGAAGAGCACCAGAGCAAAAGGCATCATTTGGCATCAGCTGCGATAGGATAGACACACAGGCAACATCCTGTCGCATGGCCCGGTGAGCTCAGATAGGAATCTCAGAGGGCTGCAGCAGATTGTCATGAATGCACTGTTTTAGCCCCAGTTTGATTGATTCCTCTACTGCAACATTGTTTCTAAAAATAGCAACTGCTGGCACACCGTGTGGAAAGACTCTCCGCGGAGTGCATGCACGGAAATCTGATGAGGCTCAAAACGTGCACGCCAATTTCTTGTGAACACATGGCACCATTAGCGTCCCCTCGGCCGGCATCTCTAATGCAACTCCTCTGGAGCCAGTTCTCAGTTTATCCGCTCTCCATCCTCACACAGCTCTGAACGCCGCCTG